TTGTGAGGAAGGCGTTGTCTCTCTCGTGGTTAGCATTATGCCCCTCTTGCCATCTCTCTGCCCTTTTCCTGTGGCGTGCCTGCCCTTCTATCCTCCTTTTATCGGCAGATCAATGAATTCCTTGGTCTGCATCCAGAGAGAGCTAGTGTAGGTGGCCTTGCCCTTTGAGTAGAGCCCTCCGCATAAGGCGCCTTTACAAGCCATGAGCAGGCCTGCCTCAGACCAGGTGGCCATCTCTGGTCCAGTCCTTAGTCACTGTTAGTCACTTGTGCAGGCAGGCATCAGCCCGTTGGGACTCCTCTGACCCTGGGGGCTGTGGATTTGGCTCTCCCTATTAGAAGCTGCTGTTGAGTGACATCCTCCCTGGGACTTGGATTCAGGCCACCCAGTACCTGATTCGCCCAGATCTCCTTATCTGTAGTAAAGGACCCACAGCGTTAATCCATCTCATGGGCAGCAGCGGAGGGTTCCGAAGACACAGGCAGAGGTGCTTTGTACCCTGTTAAATACTAGGCTGACGGTTTGTTAATCTAAAGGGGTAACCCCTGCAGTCATTTTTATCTATTTGGTTTTGTATAGAAAGCTTGTCTGGTCATCACAGAAAGGGAACAATGACAGGGAGCAATGGCGAGGAGGTTGGGTGGGGGTGGGTGGGGTATGGGACTCTCCTGGTTTCTAATTGAGGGATGTTCACAGTGCCTGTCAGGAGCTCTGTCCTCAGGTCCCTACAATGCTCAGAGTACTTGGGGTAGACTGTGTGTGTGTGTGTGTGTGTGGTGTGAGTGTGTGAGTGTGAGTGTGTGAGTGTGTGTGTGTGTGTGTGTGTGTGTGTGTGTGTGATGTTAGGGACCCAGAACGAAGAGCCCATTTCCATGCAATCTCTCCCTTCCCTACTCATGCCCCCGCTTCACTAGCGACCACTCAGAAAGGTTTTGAAGGACAGACAGAAGGGGCGCTTCTGGGCAAGTAAGATGAGCTCAAACGGAGCCGAAGAGGGGACTGGGTGTGAGCTCCCGGAAGGGCTGGGCTGTTTGGCCCACACCAGTGAACTGCTCCGGAATTTTGGCTTGAGACTTAACATCCCGTGGCTGCCAGGAAAGGTCAGGCCCTTTGTGTGGAGAGCGGTTCTGACCTTGGGCGAAGCTGCACTTGGGCACACCTGAGCCCCCAGACTGCGTGAGGGAGCCAGTGAGGTCAGAGCCTTGATCCAAGGACAGTGTCTTTGTTATTAATTTTTACCAGGTCCCTCCACACCAAGAGGGGAAAGGCCATGGTGTGGGTGGTGCTGTTTTAACGATCCCTCACCCCAAATCCAGAGTCCATCACTTGGGAGGCAGAAGCAGGAGTACTAAGCATTCAAGGCTAGCCTCTGCTACACAGTTGAGCCTGGGCTCCACGGAAGCCCGTCTCTGAAAACCCCAACAGACAGACAAAGCAGCAAACTGGGGTCCTATTTGAACAGGCTCAAGGTGCTTATATTCAGGTTGAACTGGGACCATCCTGAATTCATTCATGAAAGCGAACGTTCAGAAATGCGCTGAAAGCTGCTTGTCTTGGTCCAGCGCAAACTGCCTTCTCAGTCCTGGTGGCTGAGATGGGCCAGTGCGGTGCCGGGCGGGATAGGGAGATTAAATAAGGGACAGGACAAGTGGAAGCAAACTTTTGACATCTTCCTTCAGGAAGGAGACAGGAAGGCCAAGGGAGAGGGAACAGAAGAAGGGGAGGAGCCCCCCTCCCTGTACTAGGGTAATTTCCTCATTGGCTTTGGCAGATACGGTTGCTGGGGGTCCCGGCTTTCTTCTCCAAGGGTTTTTTTAGTTCTCTGCTAATTAGGGCATTGGAGAAACTGCTATGGTAATTATAGTGTCTAGACTTGGGAGCTACAGAAGGCAGCAAGAGAATATTTAATTGCAGAGCTAAGTAGGCATGAGAAGACGACAAGGTTTTGAGTCTTCCTTGAGAACAATGCTATGTGAATTGTGTGCTTCTCTGAATTGCCCTGACACTGTCTGTTATGCAAAGGGGGAGGCAGTCTGAGGTGTTTTGTCTGAGCATACAGGATTGTCAAAATTCCGATTTCTGCCGGAAGAGTGTGACTCCGGGAGGGAACCGATGGTGACTTAGTGACGGAAAGTATGCAAAGGGCCCCAGATCCAAGCCTTAGCAATAGAAAGCAGAACAAGAGCTGGGAATGGAGCTCAGCTGCCAGGGTGCTTGCACAGCTGTGCGGGGAACTCTGCGTAGGATCCCCAGCACTTATAGAAAGGCGATGCCCTCCTGTAACCCAAGTACTCGGGAGGCAGGAGGAGGGTCAGAAACTCAAGTCATCCTCAGCTGGGTAGCAAATTCAAGGCCCAGGATACATAATCTTCAAAACAAACAGGCAACAAAAAAAAAAGCCAAGCTTCATTTCTTCTGTGGGTTTGCAAGGGTCTGCACGTCACAGAGAGAGCTGTATAGTGCTGCTGTGGTCTTGACCAGCTCGCCTTTGAAGTTGTCATTATAAAGACGGTAGGTGCAGATGCTCTGGGCCTTTTTTTTTTTTTCCCCTTTTGAGACAGGGTCTCATATAGACCAGGTGACATCAGACCCCCTGTGGAGCTGAGGGTGGCCTTGAACTTCTGACCCTTGTGTCCACCTGCTGAGATTACAGGCTACCAATCCCAGTGTTCGGCCTCTCTGCTGGCTGAGCCACACACCCAGCTAAAATGCTCTGTAGCTTGTCGAGGTTAAAAAGATGCCAGCTCAGCCTTTCGGGGAGGAAAGCGAATAGTCCAGGAAAGTTCCCGACTTGCCAGACTTGGTCACCATATTTCTTCTTCCTCAGTTAAATCATGTCCTTTTTAAAAAGCAGCTTAGGGAGCTGGAGAGATGGCTCAGCGGTTAAGAGCTCTTCCAGAGGTTCTGAGTTCAATTCCCAGCACCCACATGGTGGCTCACAACCACCTTGAATGAGATCTGGTGCCCTCTGCTGGCATGCAGGCAGAAAGCTGTATACACAATAAATAAAATATTTTTTTAAAAAAAGCAGTTTAGTGGGAGAACCAGACAGAGTGACTTTCGATCCAATGTACCAGGCCTCCAGGCATCCAGTGGAGTAGGGATCCCACCCAGCAGTCTGGGAGAGGACAAAAACGATGATAAAGGATGTTCTTGATGCTGACTGGTATGTGTCAGGCCACGCCCTTCCTGTTCCTTCCGCTTTTTCCAATGTAAGTACCACGGATGTGTTGGGGAAGTCTTATGTCAATAAAGCACTGTTGAGCCAATAGGAATCTAGATATGTGGGACTAGGAGTCCAGGAGGACTCTGGGAAGGAGAAACACAAGAGAGTTTGAGATGTAACGCCATGGGGTAGGAGGCCCGGAAATTTCTCCGGTAAGAGACATACTTAGATTAACAATTATGGGGTAATTACTTAAGTCAGAGCTAGCCAGTAAGAAACAAGCAAGGCCAACAGCTTCATAATTAATATAGCCTCCTGTGTGTTTATTGGGACTGATGCGGCTCTAGAACCAGGCTGGTGGGAAGGCTTCTCTCAAGGAAAAAGCTTCTCATTACACGGATGTTTCTACTGCTTATGAGTGCGAATCTCCTTGTGGTAAAGATGCTGGAGAATGGGTGTGTGAAAAAAATCCTTACCTGGTAGTTAACCTCTCAATTAAGCACTCTATAGGTGAGTATAGAGGATCCCTTGTGAAATTTAATGTGTATAATACGTATGTTATATATTTGTTTATATAATATGTGGTCATGAAAATAGATGTTATACATACTGTTCAATGACTGCCTTGCTAATTAAAATGTAGTAAATATGGAACTACCTCAACCTCTTTGAATGTAATGCCCATATCTAAATATACTTCAAATATAGTGTGAATTCCTCATCACTGATTCTGCTAGACATTCGTCACCCCCAACTCTTTGTTATTATACTCATTTCCCCATCTTACCACTTCTATGATTTTACTTTTTAAATGATAAATTATTTTTTAAAATCAGCATTATTGGGAACATATTCTATATACAGCAAGCTAAATCCATGAGTTACAGGCAGCATGACTTTTGGTAAGTGCATCCATCCGCATACAACTACAATCCAGCTACGAGAAGTTTCTATCACCACAGCAAGTCTCCAAATGGCACCGTAACCCTGGCACTCAGGAGGCAGAGGCAGGATCGGGAGCTGAGGTTAGCTTGGGTCATGTAGTGAGTCTGAGCCTGCTCAGCCGTATAGCTCCTCTTTGCCACCGCAAGGCTGTCTTATGTTCCTTTGCAGCTAATATCCGGGCCTGTCTCTGCCCCAGACAGCTGGTGCTCTGTGTCTGTTTCTATAGGCTGTTGTATACTAGAATTTCAGATATGAGGAATTATATAATAGTATAGAATTTTCAATGTCTTGCTGTATTTATATGATCTATTTTAAAAATCCATCTATGCAGATGCCTTTATAGTTAGTCAATTTCTTCTTATTGCTTATTGGCATTTCATTGTATAGATGTGTCATTCATTCATTTGAGACGCATATAGATTATTTCTAATTTGCTACTACAAATGTTAATATTATCAATTAAGTTAAATATTATATCAAATTATTGTATTATTAAACTATATATTAAGTTATTACATTAAGTAGAACAGATATTGTTAGTACTAAATTAATATAGGTATTAATACAGATACTAACATTACTAAGAATATTTGGAGAGACATGTTTTCATGTCCCTCGCTTAAGAATTTCATAAATGTCTTGGGTTTCTAGTGCTGTAATAAATACCATGATTAAAGATAACATGGGGGCGCTGGAGAGATGGCTCAGAGGTTAAGAGCACTGGCTGCTCTTCCAGAGGTCCTGAGTTCAATTCCCAGCAACCACATGGTGGCTCACAACCATCTGTGATGAGATCTGGAGCCCCCTTCTGGCCCGCAGGGATCCATCACTGAATACATAATAAATCTTTTAAAAAAAAAAAAAGAAAAGAAAAGAAAAAGAAAAAGGATAACATGGGAAGGACAGGGTTTATTTCAGCTTACAACGCCCAGGTCACAGTCATCACTGAGGGAAGTCAGGTCAGGAAGTCAGGGCAGGAACTGGAGCAGAGGTCACGGAGCAACACTGACTGCTGGCTTGTGTCTGCTTTCTTGCTCACCTTTCTTTCTTTCTTTTTTTTTTTTTAAAGATTTATTTATTTATTACATATACAGTGTTCTGCCTACATGTGAACCGCTCAGACTGCATCCAGACAGCCCACATTAAAACTGGTATTTTGTCGAAGCAGGATCTCCACTTCTGAAATCACAAAAGAGGTAATCTTCTTAGGACTTTGATTTGTAGGAGAGTCATTAAAGGTAACTCCTTTTGTCTTTCTCAGATTAGAGGTTAGAGAGGTTCCCGTTGCAGAAGAGACACTGGTTAAAGGATGCATAAGGTTGTCCTTGGTTGAGAAATATTCTCAGGAAACGCAAGTCCTTTGTGTGTTTCCTGGGCTTAGCATTTACACAATGTTTTCCAAGTATAAAAGCTATTTACTGTCATTACTAATTGCCTCCCAAGGGCTTAGGGGCAGCTGAAGGATGGAGCCAGTGTTCAGAGCTGTTAGAGGCACACATGTCCGTGCCAGCCTTGGCTCCCAGGCATCTCAAGAGTTTCCCAACACTAACCCACTGGGTTTGGTCTTGCGTGCTTATCAGTCTCTGTAAGGTTTTCTCAATTACAAGTTACCGAATCACAGGACAGCATTTCTGTCGACTGCCTTGCAAACAACTAAATACTGGTGACAGTTTTAGGTTTATCATCAAGTCAGAATCCTTGGGGAACCAGTGAGTATGGACACTTCTGAAAATGCCCTGGAGGGATCCGGAGTAGCACCTGGAGTCAGCAGAGCAGATTTAAATAGCCAAGAGACCCCTTCCGTTATATTCTCAGAATCAGAGTATTGGATTGAATAAAACTTTTTCTAAATACAGCTATAAGTAAGCATTGCGTCTTCTGTCAAATACATGTCTATTCTGTCTTAGAGAATGTACGGTAAGGGTGTACACGCATATGGAAGTCAGTGCAAGAGCGACCATTTCCCATGTCTTAGTCTATGTTTTAGGCTTTCAAGTATTTTGTTAACAATGTAATTGTCAAATTCCAAGTGTAGTTTCGGATCTTGAACTTCAAATTTGTCTCTTCAGAACAGTTTGCATTGTTGCATTTTAAAAAACATAAGATCCAAAAAAAGAGGCAAATAGGAACATTTATGTTATGTCTATGATTACACTCAAAGAGGAAGGCCTGTGGGTTCGTTTTACTTCCCTCTGATTTGGAGGAACTGACCCTGGCCCTCCAAGCACGACTCATACCATCATACAGTTGGTGTCTGGTGCCCTCTGCTGGCTCTTCTGGGATGGTGCCCTTTTCTGTTCCTTGTAGGAAAAATGTTTTTACATTTAGGTGTTGTTTTGTATGTGTCTGTTTTTCTTTCTTTCTTTCCTTTTTTCTTTCTTCTTTCTCTCTCTCTCTCTCTCTCCTTCCTTCCTTCCTTCCTTCTTTTCTTTTAGGCTTATTTACTTATTATGTATGCAATATTCTGCCTCCATGTATGACTGTGAGCCACCATGTGGTTGCTGGGAATTGAACTCAGGACCTCTGGAAGAGCAGTCAGTGCTCTCAACCTTTGAGGCATCTCTCCAGCCCATCTCATTTTAAAGGTTTATTTATTTTAGAAAATATTCCTAAGTGTGGCTTAATGTGTAATGAGGGACATATGGATACAGGAACTGGTCCTGGGTCCTTTTTTATTTATTCAACAAACATATTAAGCAATGTTTCAGGGTGTCAGATATGCTGCTGTGGAGCTGGAGACAGCAAGCAGCAACCTTCACTCTCAAGGGTCTCAGTAGCAGAGCCACAGCGAGGGGGTAACCCCCTCGACTAGACGTAGATGTTACAGCAAACAAACCGGCTCATTGGAGAGCCTCATCTGCTATTCCTAATGTTTAAGATGTGTGTGTGTGTGTGTGTGTGTGTGTGTGTGCGCGTGCACGTGTGTGTGTCTGGTGCATGTGCCCTTGTGTGTACAGACCTATGTATGTGTACACGCCTGAAGAGGACATTCAGGTCCCTCAGAGCAGGAGTTACTGGCGTTTGTGGTTTCCTTTGGTTTTGGCGCTGCTGCTGGTAGCTGAGCTCTGCTCCTCAAGATTGGACGGTGAGTGCTGACAACGGCAGAACTGTGTCTCCAGCCTTGTCTCTTCTTACAGTCCCTGGAGTTGACAGACATCACAGCCCATTTGCTCCCACTTTACCTGGTAAAAGCTACGATGGACATATTCTGAAGACAAAGGGTAGTCTCAAACAAGAGGGCACCGTGGGAACCTCTCCCATGGTGGTGGTCTGGAAGAAAACGGCCCCCAGAAAGAGTGGTAGTTTCAGGAGAGGTGGCCTTGCTGGAGCAGGTGTCGTCTTGTTGGAGGAAGTGCGTCACTGTGGGGGCGGGCTTTGGGGGCCTCATGCATGCTCAAGATTCTGCCCAGTGTCTCAGTTCACTTCCTGTTGCCTGCAAGACATAGGACTCGCGGGGCGGTGGTGGTGCACGCCTTTAATCCCAGCACTCAGGAGGCAGAGGCAGGCGGATCTCTGTGAGTTCAAGGCCAGGCTGGACCAACAGCCTCCAAAACAATACAGAGACAGAGAAACCCTGTCTCAAAAAACAAAACAAAACAAAACAAAAACAAAAACGTAGGACTCTCAGCTAATTCTCTAGCGCCATGTCTGCCTGTACACTGCCATGCTCCACTTTGATGAAAATGGAGTGAATCTCTGAACTGTAAGCTGCCGCCTCAATGAAATGTTTTTCTTTATAAGAGTTGCCAGGGTCGGGCTGGAGAGATGGCTCAGCGGTTAAGAGCACTGACTGTTCTTCCAGAGGTCCTGAGTTCAATTCCCAGAGACCACATGGTGGCTCACAACCACCTTGAATGAGACCTGGTGCCCTCTGCTGGCATGCAGGCAGAAGAATGTGTACACAATACATAAATAAATAAAATATTTTAAAAATATCAGGCTTTAAAAAACAAAAAGAGTTGCCAGGGTCCAGGGTCAAGCCAGCCTGGTGACACATGTCTTTTTTGTTTGTTTGTTTTTTTGTTTTTGTTTTTCGAGACAGGGTTTTTCTGTATTGTCTTGGAGCCTGCCCTGGAACTCCCTTGGTAGATCAGGCTGGCCTTGAACTCACAGAGATCCGCTGCCTCTGCCTCCCAAGTGCTGGGATTAAAGGCGTGCGCCACCAACGCCCAGCTGTGACACATGTCTTTAATCCCAATACTCAGAAGACAGAGGCAGGACGATCTCTGTGAGTTCAAGGCCAACCTGGTCTACAAAGTGAGTTTCAAGACATCCAGAGCTGTTACACAGAGAAACCCTGTCTTGAACCCCCCCCAAAAAATAGTTGCTGTATTTATGGCATCTCTACACAGCAATAGAAATCCTAACTAAGACACTCCCTCTCTGGGATTTTTCTTACTTAACCTTAATAAATCTATGTTTACTAAAATAAAAAAGAGACAAAAATGGATAATACGGTTTTAGCTGATACCCTAGGAAAAGTTTAAGATATGTAATATGTGTCCAGTGAAGGGATCTTAACTTAAAGCCATGTTTCCAAGGGAGCCAGGCAACAAGTACTACTACCCAGCTGCATGACTATGAACCACACCGATGGCGTGGTAGCCCTAAAGATGCAATAGCGGTACTCATATCTTGGCAGCAGCTAATGTCTGTCTCCTTGGAGTCTTTAGACCAATTGGTCCATTCACCAGGAGGGGAATCATGGCTGGCATGGGAAACCTAGCCAAGCACCTGAGGTAATGGGTCTTAGAGAACGTATCACCACCACCACTTCACTACTCTAAACTGGCCCAATTCCTAACTGCCTTCTACTGTCTCTCCTTACCATCGCAGACAGCTGTAGCCCCCACCCTGTGTCAAGGATACTTATCTTTGCAGCTGGAGACCATTTCAGAAAAGCACAACGGGTCAAATGCAGAGAACAGGTGATCGTGGAGTGTCTGGTCTGACTTCACTGATGCATCTGTACCATAGCTCCTGTACCCAAATAAGGCTCAGGGGTTCATTTTGGAAGGTGAGGGGCTGGAAAGATTGTAAGGGGCAGAGGACAAGGAAAGCTGCTGTGGGATTGTGTCTCCTAGGAATAACGGGAAAGTGTCACCCATGATACCGCAGCAAGATGGCTGTCTAAGCAAGACCTGAAGAAGCAGACTGCCAACAGACATGTAAACCTGGAAGGAGGAAATCTCACAGACGAGGAACTACAGGCAACTGAGGAATGCTGGGAGAGAGAGAAATAGTCTTCCGCAGGGGAAGAGGCCGTGATTTTGGGAGGGAGCCAGGAGGAGTCAATGGGAGTGGTTGGAAAGAGAAAGGAAATGGGAAAATCACACACACATACACACACTTAACACATACACACACACACTCACATACACACACTTAACACATACACACACACTCACCACAATACACACACTCACACACATACACACCACCCACAACACACACACACACACACACACACACACACGGATTTATTTTATTTCATGTATATGAGTGCTCTATGTACAAGTACAACTTTATGCCAGGATAGGGTATCAGATCCCACTATAGATGGTTGTGAGCCACCATGTGGTTGCTGGGAATTGAACTCACGACCTCTGGAAGAATAGTCAGTGTTCTTAACCTCTGAACCATCTCTCTAGGTGCCAATGTAATTATATTTTAATTAAGGAAGTTTATTTAAAAGTTCCTGACACGTAACAGCTACTCAGTAGAATACAGCAGACACTACACGATGATAAACATGAGCTTGGGCTCTAGGCCCAGGCTGGCTGAGTTTGGCTCTGTATGTTTTGTTAGCTGGGCATCTTGTGCAAGCAAGGTTACCTCACTGGTAAACTGGGGGTGGTAGAAGTAGACACATCATAGTTAATACACACAAAGTACTTTGAATACCTGTTACTATTTAGGGTGTAACAAAGATTGATTATTTTGTTATTATTCCTTTCAACTTTTGGAAACTCCTGCATCCTTTTAAAGTCCTGTATTAAAATTGGGGAGAAACTTCAAGTGAGTCTTAGGTATAAAACGCACTTCGGTCAGGCTGGAGAGATGGGTCAGCAGGGTCAGAGTGCTGACTGCTCTCCCAAAGGACTCAGGTTTCATTGCTAATGCCAACATCAGGTGGCTCACAATCATGCTTATCTCTAGTTTTGGGGATTCAGTGTCCTCTGGTCTTCATAGGCAGATTTGGTAAGTGCTCCTCCCCCTCTCAGCATTCATGGTGACAACTAGGCTATCCAAGGGGGAGGGGACCAAAATTATGAACAAGGTGCCAGGCAAGGCTGTGACAAACTCGTAGGTGGTAACAAGAATCCTACCGTGGTGGAACTGTGAATGTGTGACTCTGTGTGTTACATGGACGGGGATTCTGACGGAGACCTTAGGGAGATGTTCGGAACGAGGTGATCTCTACAGTGAACGTGCAGGACAGAGAAGGAAGAGAGGGACGCAGATGGGCATGTGAGAGCCTGCTGTGTTCACAGGAGTGACAGCGGCTGTCCCGGGATGCTGGGGCGGAGACAGAGGGTCAGGAGTGGAGGACAAAGGAGTCTGGGTAACTAGGGGGCTCGGACACCCAGCTCTTCTCGGGTTCAGGGCCGTAGCTTCTCTGATGCTACTCCCCATCAGAACAGGTCCTAGGTGCGATCTCTCATTTCCTCCTGGCCCCTGCTGCCTCCACCTAATTCAGTGCCCGCATCCTTCATACCCTGCGTGTAAAAAGTGCAGCTCCCATAGCTTCCTCAACTTCTAATAGATTTGCCGCCCCCGCAACCCATTAACCCATTATCTGCTGTAAGATATACAGAAGACCAAGTGGCGCATGGCTGTGTACAAAGAAAGGATTGGGCCCTTGGAGTACCAAGCTGAGCCTGACAAAGAGGCAGTCTAGCTGGACTTTGGGAGGCAAGTAACGTAAGCAAAGACGTAAGAAAAATGATGCATGCATGCAGTTGGTGCTTAGAATTTGTTGAATAAATAATGATAAATAATGATGTAGGAATGGCTGATGACTTCTCGTGCAGTGCAGTGTGGTGGATTGAGCCGGAACGGCCTCCATAGGCTCTTATGTTTGAATGTTTGGTCCCCAGTTGGACTGTTTAGGAAGGATAAGGGGTGTGGTCTTGTTGGGGGAGGTGTGACACTCGGGGTGGGCTTTGAGGTTTCAAAAACTCAGGACAGGGCCCAGTGTCTCTGCCTCCTGCTTGTGGATCAAATTTAAGTTTTCAGCGTCTGCTCCAGCAACATGTCTCCCTGCCGCGCTGCTGCGATGCTCCCCACCGCGATGGCCATGGACCCACATCCTGAAATGGGAAGCGAGTCCTCAATTAAATACTTTATAAGTCGTCATGGTCATGCTGTCTCTTCACGGTAACGGAAATGTAACTGAGACGCCAGGTGTGACTCTGAATGGCCAGCTACCCAAGTAAGAAGACTTCCTAGTTGTCAAAGAGGAAGGGGAGGGAGAACAGGTATGTGTATGCTGGCTGTCAGTACAAGTTTCAGACTGGATTTCTTCTTGAGTTAGTAGCTCCTTGCATGACCATTTTCTCTTCCAGTGGATGGGAAGAGAAGGTGAGAAGGGGGTGATGTGTACACACACACACACACACACACACACACACACGGTGGGGGAGGGAGAGAGGGAGGAAGAGAGAGAGAGAGAGAGAGAGAGAGAGAGAGAGAGAGAGAGAGAGAGAATATATAGTGACCTAATGTTTATTCCTTTCCAGCCATGCTAAGGTCTTAGGACCTCAGGTTACAGAATCATTCCTCCTGCAGAAGGTAAGTTGGGAGAAAGATGATGACAAGCATTAGAAACTGAGGGAGGGTTGAGTTCACTTAGGAAACACATGTTCTTGACACCAAAGGTACAAAGAAGACCTTGTAATTGCAAAGAGCTTTGAATGAAGAGAGCGTAAAGCTAAATTAGTCAGTGCAGGGAGACGGTGCGATAAGGCCTTGCTCCTTAGGTGTGGGTTTCTAGCAGCTTCTGCTTCTGGAAGTTTGTTAGAATGGACATTCCTGATTGGCTGTGAACCTGTTTTAGTAAGTTTGAATGGTGTTCAAAGGTATACTTGAGGAGTCCAAGTCCAGCCCATGGGAATGAGACCTGGGATGTATTCTATGGAAGTCAGTTCTGAGTTGTGTTTTGAGGGTGCATCAGGTTTCAGATGGTTTCCAGCTGAGGGACTAATACTAAGTCAGGAACCGTGAAAAAGCACAGGCATGTTTGGGGAAGTGGAGTCAGGAAGCAGATAACCAAGATGGGGAGAGTGGGCTGGAGAGATGGCTCTGGAGTGAAGAGCGCTTGTTACTCTCCTGGGAGTTCAGTTGCTAGTACCCGTGTCCTGCAGCTCACAGCCACCTGTAATGGGATATGGTGCCCTCTTCTGGCCTCCAAGGGCACCTGCACTCATGTGCGCATACCTACAGACATTGCAGATTCATAATTTAAAAAGTCTTTATAAAGGAGAGAGGGAGGACAGGGAGATGGGGGAGGGAGGCAAGGGAAATTAGAGGGAGAGGACAGCAGTTGGTGCTCCATGTTAGGCAGCTTGGACAAGATCTACTCCAAGCCTTCGTGGTGGGAAGGACGCGTTGGGAAGGACGCGTTCAGATCACTCAGCCGGAGGAGGCTGAGAATGGGTGAGGCTGTAGGGCAGAGAAGTTAATTAGGAAGCAAAGGAAAGATTTTTTTATTTAATTTTATTTTATTCTTTTGCAGAGGGGTATTGCGTGCCTTAACTCGGGCAGTGTGGCAGTGGGGGGTGGGAAGGGTGGGACAGAGGAGACATTTTAGGTGGTGATTAGGAGGATTGGAAGTGGGAGGCTGGAGGAGCAGTGGGAACTTTTCTGACTGGGATTAGTGGGTGGCGGCTTACGGTGCCTGCAATGGATGAAAGAATTACAGGAGGATAAACAGGTTTGAGAAGGGAAATTGTGGGTTCAGTTTTCAACATGCTTAACCCAGGTGAACAGAAAACATGTGTAGGAGGAAAAAAGGGGGATCAGGAAAAGGGTGGAGAAGAGGGTGAGTCAATGCGGGTGGAGAAGGAAACGAGGAGGAGGCAATGCCCTGTCCAGACTTGGGGCTACCGTAAAGCTCCCTGTCGCCCTTCATTTCCTGCTTCCGCAGAGCTTGGTTGAGCAAGGGAATAGAACCCTGAGAAAGCAAATATTTTGATTTCCGGCTTCCTAGCTGGTAACCAATTCGTTGTTCCTACTGTTTGCTCTGTGAAAAAGAAATTAATTTGTGTGTGTGTGGTGTCTGTGTTGTATGTGTATATGTGTGTGTCTGCGTGTGTGTTTGTGTGTGGTGTGTGTGTTTATGTGTGTATGTGTGTGTGTCTGTGTGTGCGTGTCTGTGTGTGTGTGGTGTGTGTGTATATGTGTGTCTGCGTGTGTGTTTGTGTGTGCGTGTGATGTGTGTATGTGTCTGTGTAGTGTGTGTATGCGTGTGTGGTGTGTTTATGTGTGGTGTGTGTGTCTGTGTCTGTGTTTGTGTGTTTATGTGTGGTTTGTGTGTGGTGTGTGTGTATTTATGTGTGGTGTGTGTGTATGTGTATGCGTTGTGTGTATGTGTGTGCGTGTGTGTTGTGTGTGTGTACGTGTGATGTATGTGTGTGTGTCTGTGTTGTGTGGGTATGTGTGTGTGTGTTTATGTGTGGTGTCTGTGTATGTGTGTCTGTTTATGTGTGTGGACTACTTTCTCCCTGCCGAATCGAATCTTTCCCATCTGTGAGTTTCCTCAGTTGTCTCACTCACACCCTGTCTCGGGATGGTCTCCTATTTAGCAGCCTGTGCTGCTCCGCCCGCTCCCAGGAAGGAAACTCCCCAAGTCCTTCCACCGTCTCCTTCCTCCCGGGCCGAGCGTCCGAGCAGCCAAAGGTCGCCGGGATTTGCTCAGACCGAGCCGGAGGGAGGCAGCCCCTGCGGGGCCCCGTCGCTCTTGCCGGGCTCACACCCGGCCGGCCCCCCGGATCCCTGAGCTCACCCACGGCCGCCCGTCCTCCGCGGTCCCTTCTCACCCTCCGTCCGCCGGGATCCCCGGGGTCAGCGCCGGGGAGGCCCGACCTCCGACTCGCGTCCCGCCCCCCGCGCCTGGCCCGCTCCCCGGCCCGCGCCGGCCAATCGGAGGCCGGGCTGCGGCGACTGGCAGCGCCCGCCGGCCCGCCCCCAGCCTCGCTGTGGCCTGCGGCTTCCCGGCCGGTAGCGCCGCTCTCGTTCGCTCGCTCGCGCGGGCCGCTCGCCTGGAGTCGTCGGGTCTGGTCGGGTCGCGGGCGCCTGCGGCGGGCCCCACAGCTCCGCGCCGAGCCGAGCCACACCGTCCGCCCCGCGGCGGCCACCATGGACTTCGAGGACGGTGAGCGGGGCGCGTGGGCCGGGCGAGCCGGGCCGGGCGAGCGGGCGAGCGGGCGGCCTGCTTGCCGGGGGTCTGTCTCCCGCCTCAAGATGGCCGTGTGGCTTTGTTCTGCGGGCCGCGCGGCGATGGCGGGGACCGGGCCGGAGCGCTCGCCTCCGGGAGCCACACACGGGGGGAGGGGATCTGGCTGGCCGGCCCGAGTCTCCCCCCACCTCGCTGCCCGCTGTCCCCGGGATGGGCCTCGGGGCGAACCCCGCGGCCTCCGGGATCCGTCCTCGGGCTCGCCCGGGGCCGCCGGCAACTTCCCGGCCTTGCGGCGAGGGGCGGCCGGGCCCCACGGGGCAGCGTGCGAGCGTGCGAGCGGTGCTTGTGGAAAGCGAGCCATGGGGTGGGCTCGAGCCTCCTCCGGAGCCGGAATCTGCAAGTTCTTCTTTGCACGCAGCAGACGGGGCTGTGTAGTAACTCACCCCAGTTTACCTGCTTGGAAACCCCTCGTCTGGGCAGTGCTGTGCACCAGTGCACTTTTTTGGAGGGGGCGGGGAGGCGGGGTGGGGCTGGTGGACGAAGGCTCCCTAAGTTAGGATTCTGACACCGCGAGCCCCGATGCCCTTCGCGTTCAGGTCGATCTTACTGGATAGATGAACGGATTCCCAGGGGTGCTTTCCAGGCCTCCCCTGAACCAATAATTCCTTGAGCCGTTGTGTCCAGGGTCACCAAGCACAGCTATAGTGAGGCTTCTTCAAATCTTCCTCAACTTACATAGGGATTAGTGAGGAGATAAAGGGATACATTGTGACAGTGTTAGCGGGAGACGGGGCGGGGGGGTCGTTTGGAGGATCAAACTGAGTGTGTAGTCTCGAAACTAAGTATCTAGGTATCTAGGAACTAAGTATCACTAAATAAAACCGGTTGGAGCCGAGCGTTGGTGGCGCAGGCGGCTTTTAACCCCAGCACTCGGGAGGCAGAGGCAGGCGGATCTCTGTGAATGTGAGGCCAGCCTGGTCTACAGAGAGAGTTCCAGGACAGGCTCCAAAACAATACAGGTAAACCCTGTCTTGAAAAAAACCACCACCACCACCACCACCACCACCAAAAACTGGTTCCTTTCTTGTAAGGAAAGCCTCTGCCTCGGCCGGAAATGGTCTTTTAACAGTGACTAAAGATGTGATCTTAGCTTATGTTGTATTGAGGGAGCTTTTGATTTTTGATTTGCTACAAGAAGTTAAAGGAGACACAGTCACCCCCCTCCCTTTTTTTTGGTGTGCTTTTCGGTTGCACTGAAATAGTTCAGGTCTTCAGAATAGTGCACACTGCCCTGCCGGTGTTTCAGTGTTGGGCTGGGACTCATTCTGATATAGGTGACTCTAAATGACAACTATTTGTAGTTAGCTAGAGTTGACATTGGAAAGAGGAAATGCATTATGTTTTCATACCGAAGTTTGACAACACTGCCGACATACATGGTGTGTCAGAAGTTCACCTTGTGGTATGTGTGGGCCGAGTGGGAGTCAGTAAGGAAATTAATTTTCAGCAGAGAACTGAAAAGTAATGGTATATTTGCTGTGGTTGCCTTTCCTTCTGATTATAATAAAATAATAAACAGTGCCAGTCCTCAGCAGCCGCCACGGCTGCAAACTGGGCCTTAGAACCCCTCCTGCGTCACATGCCGGGGCTCTGCTGTATCCAGAGGCTCTGTATTAAACTCTGTTCTTCCAGTCTTTATTTATAGAGTTAAATAAAGGCTGTAACATCATGCCTGGGTGGATACAACCCACACACTCATACATATATGCATGTGTGTTTTTTAGACAAGCTCCTGAAGTATTTAGAGAACAGATTAAGTGGTGAAACAAACGCTGACCTTGAAACATTTGTATTCCATATGATCAGTTCTCAAATGTATCCTCGGCTTGTATCATTTGATACATAATCTGCTTTCCCTGTTTTTTGTGTAAATTAGTACTGGGTCTCTCTCCTCTTTTGGCAGTTACGTATATGGAGTATACACTAGTTTTTACATTGCCATTAGGCTGTGAAGGGGTGATGTGTTTTCCTAAATGGATATTTGTACCCCAGTTTTTTTGGTAATTGAGTTAAAGACATTTGAAAATTGTGAGTAGATGAGTATGATTTTGGGTTTTGCTAACATTGCACTAATTCCTTTCTATGGAATGTCTTTGTAGATTACATACACTCTGCTTCCAGGAATAGTTACCAGGGCTTTAATGGTAAGTATCCTTTTTAATTTCCTTTTAATTTTGTCGAGGGGATGTATTTTACCTTTTTTCATATCCATAAAAGCACAACTATGAATGCAAAAAGTCAACCTACTTTGTTTCAGACTCTTTGTTTTGACTCTTGGTTCATAGATCTCAGTGTTAGTGTCATACTGTATTATATAGTGTTTGTTTTTCTGGAGTGTGTGTGTGTGTGTGTGAATTCTTATGTGCACACTTGCTGGGGATCTCATGAGTGCTATGCAAGCACTCTGCCACCGAGTGATATCTCCAGTTCTGTGTATAGCATTCGAACTTGGGATCTGAAAAAGATGTTAGGTTACTTTGACTTTATTTATTTATTTATTTATTTATTATTATTATTTTTTTTGGTTTTTCGAGACAGGGTTTCTCTGTATTGTTTTGGAGGCTGTCGGTCCAGCCTGGCCTCGAACTCATAGAGATCCACCTGCCTCTGCCTCCCGAGTGCTGGGATTAAAGGCGTGCGCCACCACCGCCCGGCTACTTTGACTTTATATTTGTTTTATTTTACTTAGGTTCTTTTATTTAATTTCTGGATACATTCTGAATGACCAGTGGCAGGACACAGAGAAAGTAGATTTTGTCTTGATTCTATGCTGCTCTGTTGGAATGCATGTTGGCTTTGCTCTTGAGGTCATTTTCCCTGACCAAATGAGTGATATAGAGCTGCCCAAAACAGCACATGAAGAGCCCGACTGCTTGTTAACAAAACCCGGTGCTGGCTGTGATTCGCTGTAATCATAAGAGACAGGAGGAATATCATACATATTGTGTTGGTACCTGTTAGAGTTAAGGCCCTGCCATACAGGTTGATAACGGAAAAAAAAGAACAGAATTTGGAGGCTAAAACAAAACAAAACCATTATGTGAAACACATGAGGGAGTAGTGGTAAATATCTTTGACTACAAGAGAAACACAAAATATAGCTATTTTACCAGATATATAGTCACGAAACCAAAGTAAATATACTACTGAAGACGGCCATTAAAAATACTACTTATAAGCTCGGCATTGGTGTGCACGCCTTTAATCCTAGAACTCGGGAGGCAGAGGCAGGCGGATCTTTAATCCTAGAACTCGGGAGGCAGAGTTACAGGCCAGCCTGGTCTACAGAACAAGTTCCAGGACAGCCTCTAGAACAATACAGAGAAACCCCGCCTCGAAAAACCAAACCAAACCAAACCAAACCAAAAAAAGTGCCTGCTTTTCTATGTGTACCTTGTATGTGCAGTGCTATTGGATTCTAGAGGAAGGCATGGGTCCCCTGGAACTTGAGTTACAGATGTTTGGTGTGCTGGGAACCACACCGGGCCCTCTGCAAACACAGCAGATGCTCTCGCTTTTACTGCTGAGCGAGCTCTCCAAACCCAATTTATGCATATAGTTAAATTTATCATCTCTGAAGATTAAGAGATACTTCAGATTCTACTTTGAGAAAAGCTACTGTCATATAGAAAGTAGTAGGTATCTAGTGAATGCTGAAGAATATGTTTTTGAGGACAGTGACAGTGAAATTAACAAAGGATGCTTGATTTTGTGTCAACATTAGGCTAGATTGGAGACTAGAAAATTGGCTCAAGGAAACTTTAATGCATTTGAATGCAAGGGAATGATAATGCTCATTTTAAAAATGTTAAGATGTTTCTGAATATAGGTAATTGACAAAATATGGAAGCTATTAATAATGGGTAGAAAACAGAGTTAAAAATGAATCTAATATTTTAAACTGAAGGAAGTAAGGCTAGTGGGTTTTGGAATGATAGAAGGCTTTACTGGAGAATTAAATAATTGATTTCTAAATGTACGTCAAATTTATTTCATTATTAGTGTAGTACAAAAATCCCTAATATTACAACTCTTATATTCTTTCTAATATAACTCCAGTGGTGATTCTCATTTGAAGATACTGTCATAATTCCCTAGAAATATTTTCTATGTGAATATTGTACAGGCAGTAGCCTAGACCTTTCGGTGCTTAATTTTAGGCAAGGGGTCCTGACAGTGTGGACAGAGTACTTTGAAGAAAAGATTTTGGCTTTTACCCTGACGAATGTCCACTACTTGAAAATACTTTGAGGTCTTAGTTGTCTACATTTTGTAAATGAGGAACTTAATTTCAGGGGTTTTGACTTCATTTAGCAATGCCTTTTTAGTTCTTGCCTTGTATCCAGATGATGTCCTGAGAGCTAGGAGCAGAGAACCTGAGAACAGAATGGACAAATAATCTTGTCTTTGTGGAACTAATTTCCAGTTTAAAGGGATGAAACATGCAGAAAATAGTTTTAAAAATAATATATTCTGTGTTGGAAGATAAAACTTATTGGGGAGAGAAGAGAATGCAGGGAGGAGAAAGATGTGTTGTATTTGTGCTCTGTGGCTAAAGAAAAAGATAACATGTGAGTATGGGATTAAAAGAGGCTAGGGTGCAAACCGTGACGCACCCCAGACTTTAGTAACTAACACAACATTTGTTGGTTCCAAATGAAGCCCATAACATATTGTTAGCCTTGGGTTTTCTCTTTCTACTAAAGTAAAGTAGAAGGCACTGATACAGATTTTTCTCCATGCTGTTTCGGGAAGGAGTTTTGTTCCCAGTGTCTCCCATGTTTCCTTATTTCACATCCTTATGTAAATAGCTGATGGAAATGGGGAACGTCAGGCCGGGCGTTGGTGGCGCACGCCTTTAATCCCAGCAGAGGCAGAGGCAGGCGGATCTCTGTGAGTTCGAGGCCAGCCTGGTCTACAGAGTGAGTTCCAGGACAGCCTCCAAAACAATACAGAGAAACCCTGTCTCGAAAAAGAAAAAAAAAAAAAAGAAATGGGGAATGTCATTGGTAGAGGGAGATGTGTGAGTGAACGAAGGTGGCACGGAGAACAATACTGCTTCGAAGAGAGAGAGTAAGGAAGACTGGTTTGCCCAGAACAGATGGTTTTTGCTGAGCAGTGTGAAGATGAGGCTGGAGAGGTGAGGTGTAGCTGGAGGCATTGAAAAATCAGAGCAATCTGTACATATATAAGAGTCAATGATAATGACGACCTGGGAGAGGAGTGTTAGTGAGCACTGCAGAGGCAAGGGAGAAGCCTTCCTGCAGAGGAGTAGTGAGTACATGGGCGTGCATGTGTTGAAACAGCAAGAGCCTCTTGTCAGTGGCGCGGGACACATGAGGCTGTCCCGTGTCAGTGCGGTTAAGAGGGGACAGGGCAGAGAGTGTGTGGTTTCTCAACCTGGACACCGCTGCCACTTTGGATTAGTTCATGTTATTGCAGGATAACTTGTCTCTGTGTGTCTGTCTGTCTGTCTGCTCTGTGCATTCACTGCAGAATGTTTAGCAGCAGCTTGGTCCCTGTGTGGTAGATGTCAGCAGCACCTCCTGCCTAGTTGTGACAACTAGAGTGTCTGGCAGACATTCCAGTGCTCCTTGGTAGAGTGTAGGAGGGAGGGAGGTGGTGTGTGGGAGACTTGTGTCTGGTTAAGAACTAGTTGGGGCTGGAGAGATGGCTCAGAGGGTAAGGGCACTTGCCGTGCAAGCATGAGCACCTGAGTTTGAATGCCCATCACCAAGTAAAGAGCCAGGCACGGCTGTGCATGCGCCTGTGACTGTGCAGTGTGGGGTGGAGACTGACCACTGTGACTGTGACTGCAGTGTGGGGTGGAGACTGATCTCTGTGACTGTGCAGTGTGGGGTGGAGACTGACCTCTGTGACTGTGCAGTGTGGGGTGGAGACTGACCTCTGTGACTGTGACTGCAGTGTGGGGTGGAGGCTGACCGCTGTGACTGTGCAGTGTGGGGTGGAGACTGACCGCTGTGACTGTGACTGCAGTGTAGGGTGGAGACTGACCGCTATGACTGTGCAGTGTGGGGTGGAGACTGACCGCTGTGACTGTGACTGCAGTGTAGGGTGGAGACTGACCTCTGTGACTGTGCAGTGTGGGGTGGAGACTGACCTCTGTGACTGTGCAGTGTGGGGTGGAGACTGACCGCTGTGACTGTGCAGTGTGGGGTGGAGACTGACCTCTGTGACTGTGACTGTGCAGTGTGGGGTGGAGACTGACCACTGTGACTGTGACTGCAGTGTGGGGTGGAGACTGACCTCTGTGACTGTGACTGTGCAGTGTGGGGTGGAGACTGACCGCTGTGACTGTGACTGCAGTGTGGGGTGGAGACTGACCGCTGTGACTGTGCAGTGTGGGGTGGAGACTGACCGCTGTGACTGTGCAGTGTGGGGTGGAGACTGACCTCTGTGACTGTGACTGTGCAGTGTGGGTGGAGGCTGACCTCTGTGACTGTGCAGTGTAGGGTGGAGACTGACCTCTGTGACTGTGACTGTGCAGTGTGGGGTGGAGACTGACCTCTGTGACTGTGCAGTGTGGGGTGGAGACTGACCGCTGTGACTGTGCAGTGTGGGGTGGAGACTGACCGCTGTGACTGTGACTGTGCAGTGTGGGTGGAGACTGACCTCTGTGACTATGACTGCAGTGTGGGGTGGAGACTGACCTCTGTGACTATGACTGCAGTGTGGGGTGGAGACTGACCTCTGTCACTGTGACTGCAGTGTGGGGTGGAGACTGACCTCTGTGACTGTGACTGCAGTGTGGGGTGGAGACTGACCTCTGTGACTGTGCAGTGTGGGGTGGAGACTGACCGCTGTGACTGTGACTGTGCAGTGTGGGGTGGAGACTGACCTCTGTGACTGTGCAGTGTGGGGTGGAGACTGACCTCTGTGACTGTGACTGCAGTGTGGGGTGGAGACTGACCTCTGTGACTGTGACTGCAGTGTGGGGTGGAGACTGACCTCTGTGACTGTGCAGTGTGGGGTGGAGATTGACCGCTGTGACTGTGACTGCAGTGTGGGGTGGAGACTGACCTCTGACTGTGACTGTGCAGTGTGGGGTGGAGACTGACCACTGTGACTGTGCAGTGTGGGGTGGAGACTGACCTCTGTGACTGTGACTGTGCAGTGTGGGGTGGAGACTGACCGCTGTGACTGTGACTGCAGTGTGGGGTGGAGACTGACCTCTGTGACTGTGCAGTGTGGGGTGGAGACTGACCGCTGTGACTGTGCAGTGTGGGGTGGAGACTGACCGCTGTGACTGTGCAGTGTGGGGTGGAGTCTGACCGCTGTGACTGTGCAGTGTGGGGTGGAGACTGACCTCTGTGACTGTGCAGTGTGGGGTGGAGACTGACCTCTGTGACTGTGACTGCAGTGTGGGGTGGAGACTGATCTCTGTGACTGTGCAGTGTGGGTGGAGACTGACCTCTGTGGCTGTGCAGTGTGGGGTGGAGACTGACCGCTGTGACTGTGCAGTGTGGGGTGGAGACTGACCGCTGTGACTGTGCAGAGTGGGGTGGAGACTGACCGCTGTGACTGTGACTGCAGAGTGGGGTGGAGACTGACCGCTGTGACTGTGACTGTGCAGTGTGGGTGGAGACTGACCACTGTGACTTGCTGGCTGTCACTAACTCCAAGTTTCAGTGAGAGACCTTGTCTTGAGGGAATGAAACAAAGACTGATAGAACAGAACACTTTGTCCTCTGGTGTCCATGTGTGTGCCCTTGCACACACACACACGGGGAGAGAGAGAGAGAGAGAGAGAGAGAGAGAGAGAGAGAGAGAGAGAGAGAGAGAGAGAGAGAGAGAGAGAGAGAGAGATCCACTAGTAATGGGTCATAGGTTATTTTAAGGGCAGGTTTGTTTTTCTGAGTTACGTATTTTCTCAATAGTACAGAGATACTGTCCTTGTTTACACTTTTAAAGTTCATTTTGGTAACCTGGGAGAAAGATTATTCCCAGAACTTATTTCCCTGTAAAAACACTGATGTGAGCTAGTGTGTCTGTCTTTAACTGAATACAGTGTATGAACATCAGATGAGAACCGCTGTGATAGAAAAGCCTGGGTGGTCTGCACAGTGCCAGGTCCACAAATGCTCACAGTACTCGTCACTTTGTGACCGCAGTGCAGTCAAAACCCAGATGCCAAGGTAAAGCTAAGATAGGCACTGCTGATGCAGTCTAGCAGAAACAGCTAGGCCTCTGCTTTCTGTGTCTGGCTAAAGTTGATGCTGAGGTTACTTTCTGCATGAGGCCTTGCAGGGATTTAATGTTGATAAGATTTTTTTCTTGCACTGTGTAGAAAGTAGTGTATCACATACCTCATGATTTCAAGCAAAAGACTGACTATGCATTAATGAATTACACAGACTTTCCAAATAGTACAGGTTTTAGTGTCCAATATAAAAACCATTCTAATGCCACCAACTGCTTAGGAAACTTTTTAAGTGTTGGGAAGCTGTCAGGTTGACAGTGATAGAAAAAGTTTTTAAGAATTTTAATTTTTTTTTAGCTTGAAGTATGAATTTTGTCATTAGCAGCATATGGTTTTTTCTTTGTAGCAGCAGTTTCACTGCATTTGGAAGAAAATGTCTGCTAAATACCCATGCCTGTAAACCATGGGTTTGTAAAATATTTTATTCTTATCGTACATGAGCAAGTGTATTATAGTCACCGCTGTCCTTTCTAATTTTTTAACTGTCTCTGTGCCCCTTCTTCCTGAGTTCCCCTCCTGTGTTCATGTCTTTTCTGTGATCCACTGAGGTTAACTAGGGATTGTGTGGCTGATCACGAGCATCTTACTAGTGGACAGGCAGGTGGACAGGAGAGTGACGCCCTCTCCCTGAGCAGCCATCTCAGTCTGTGATGGACGGCTGACAGGCTCAGTCTTGTGTGGACTGAGCGGCCGCTGTGAGGTGATGCCCGCAGCTGCCCGTTCTGTCCCGAGGCCAGCATTTCACAGCTTCCTCCTGCAGGTGTGCTCCTAGAGTCTCACTGCCCTGTCTTCCACAGTGGCCGCTGAGCCTTGGAGGGGATGATACTGATGTCCTTTGCAGGTTTGGGCATCAACCGTTATTTTTGCTCAGCACTTAGACTACTGCCCACTATAAAAAGAAGCTTATCTGGCCAACGCTGTGAGAGCAGCATTCTCCTATGACTAAACGTAAATATTTAAGAGTTTGCACTGAGTCCATATAATAAAACCACAGGAAGCAATAGGTTCCGGGGCCTGTTACTTTCCCAGCCATGGGCTTTTGACCCAGTTTATAGTACCATGAAAACCATGGTGTTTGTCTTCCAGCCTTCCTACTGCAAAGTCTTCTTTACAAGTAGTTAATTTGATTCATAAACCAAACATGGAACAGTGACTTTTCTTGGAGAGACCTGTGATACTTTGGTATGTGTCACAGCTGCTTTATGTGTATTTTCTGTTTCTCTACAATGAGTGATGAAAAGATGCAATTAAATCAAAGGCCAGGACTTAGTACAGTTATTAATTGCTCTGTCAAGGGCATTCGTAAGCAAAGGTGATATAAGAATTTGTCATTTTTCACTGGGTATGTGATATACAATTACTGCTAGATTAGTCTGACGCTTCTTAACCTTCTTTGTACATTTAAAATGCTAGTTATCTACAGAGTTTGTATACTGTTAGTGAAAATGCTATCAACATGGAAATAATATCCTTGTTATTTATGAAAATAGTTTTGGCTTCATGGGTCTTAAAAACCCTGGCCAGCAAACCATTCTATGATAACTGCTCCCCTAAGATACATTAAAAATTAGAAATTTAAGTTGAGGCCACAACAGCATACTGTTGTAATACTGTATCGATGCTACAGGTTCTGTGAATAGAAGAAAGATGATTTTCAGCTGAGACCACCGGTGAACATTTTCTTGCATAGTTTAGTAACTGAAATAGATATGAAAAATTAAAAGATTCAAAGCAGACACTTGGGTTGGGAGAAAAAATGTTTTTATGGTAGGAGAATACCTACATGATACTGGGAAACTCGTTTCCTCCTTTTGGACTCTGCAAATCAAAAAAGTGAAAAGATTAAATTTGATTAAGGTCTCTTTCAGACTTAAAAGACAAGATTATGAGTAGTGTTTATGTAAAGTTTCATCATCTTTGTTCAAACTAGAAACATTAAATGACTATAAGTGCAACTTGGTGCTTGTCAAAATATACACTAAGGTTTTTACTATGTATACTATTGTATTTATAATAAAAATATGAGATGAGAGGTAATGAGGCATATTAAGGGACTTTGTAGGAAGCATTTAAATAATTTCTCATCTTTATAGCCATTATCAATTTTATGACCTTTTTTCTAGTAAGTTTGTTTACTGCTACACAATTTTTTAGTGTTTGTGTTATGAAAAGTCACACTTACTTCTTGTATTCAAAGGATTTGAGAACTGAAGTATTTGTTGAGACTTTGTTATTCTAAGGCACAGGGCCAAGAGATTGGTCTTAGTTTGTGGCTTTACTTCCTAGAATATCTGTATCAGTAACGAACATTTCTAGTTGAAAATATAGGTGCTCTTGAGTTTTTAGATATTTTGGGAGCAATTAGTACAAAAAATAAGTATAGTATATTTACATCATAGTATACTTAGGGCAAAAAAAATCTCTTGGTATTTATTAAATGCTGACCTTGGAGACTAGTAGTTATACATAAAGTTATATATTATCTTTTTTATGCTGTAATACTAAGTTCTAAATACAGGACATTATAGTAGCTGCCTTACAGTCCACTAAATATGCTTACACCGAAAATATTTTTAATGTAGAATTTTGTAGCTCCTAGTTTAGTTTTCTTTGAAATATGAAGCTTTGCTAGCAAATAATATTTTTCAATATATAATCATTTTGTTATCTTTTATCTTTAGTATTGAGTGAAAACGTTAGTACAAATTATTGCTTTAGATGATTAGTGTGAATATGTTGTTTCTAATGAAAATTCTTGTGAAGGAATGGTGTATTTTACGCATAATCTGTCTCGTATCTACTCTTTCAGGAATGGATCGTGATTATGGCCCTGGATCTTACGGAGGTCTGACATTCCAGGATATTTATCTAAAAATTCTTCTTTTGAGTGCCAGTAAAGGTGAGCATGATTTAATTTTTTTTCTTTTTAAACTCTTATAGGGCTGGATCGTGACTATGGCCATGGATCCTATGGGGGTCAAAGATCCATGGACTCCTACCTAAGCCAGTCCTATGGCATGGACAATCACAGTGGTGGTGGTGGGGGTAGCAGGTAAATTGCTTAATCACTTGGCCAAATAAATTAGAACTATAAGATTCTGGATGTATTAAGTATTTCTTAGGCTTTTTTCATACTTGAATTTTGCTATTTGGTATTGAATCACCTTAAATATTTAAGGTGCTAATTAATGGATATAAAATTTTTCTTAGTCTCATTGGCAGATGTTATTTTTGGAAGACACCACTTATCTTTTATTCAGTGTAGTAGAATAAGACATCCTTTAACAGTGGATGCTTTAAAAAGAAAAAACTTCTTTCAATTTCTTATCAGTCCAAATGTCCTGATCAAATGATATAAAATGTTATTGGAAATATTTATTTGTGAATTATTTTTATTAGTTGTTGAAAAGAAAATTTTTCAGGTTTGGAGAGCATATTGTAATGGTACAAGTGTTCTTTAAATCATGTCCGGGTTGTTTACTGCAGCTGCTGCTTACATCTAAAATACCGTGCTTAAAAATTCGGGTCACGGACACTGCACCTTTAACTACAGTCTAGACTATTTCTATTTTACTGTTGATCATGTTTGATAACCTTAAAGGGGTCTGTTTTTTGAGATATAAAACTTCCTTCTAAGTACAAAGTAAAAGCAGTCAGACATTTGAGGTCATCCTCCTTCATAAAGCGAAGGACCTGATTCTTTAGTGATGGACTTGCCCAGTGCTTGTTCTCTGTCCTCAAGTGTGTGACTGTGCTGTACAGTAGAGTACAGTCACGAAAAGTTATCACTGTCCTTAGGTAATGCTTCCAAGTGTGAAGTTGGGAGGAATAATGTTTATATGGCTATAGGCTTCAGAAATAATAGTATCTTCTATGGAGTGACTAATGTAACATCATTTAAATGTCATAGTGCATCAGTTACTGCCCTCTTACATTGTAAGTGTATCATGCATAAACTGTTTCTGTAGTTGTTATCATTCATCTCTTGTGTAATTGTGAGCTTTTAACAAAGTGTTGTAAGATAATAAGCAACTTCTGTAATCCATGCTTTGGATTTGTGATAAGTAAAATGATTTTTTTTCCTGTTGAGACAGTGTGCTTATCTTTTAGAGTAGATTTTAATGTAACAATTTCCTGATAGGAAATACTTTTTCAAATAATTGAAGGCATTATAAAATGTATTCTTTCCCATCTGCTTTGAATATTCATATGTAGAGGGTATGTCGGTGGTCTTTTGTGTTCTATTTTACATGTCTATTCTTCTAGATTTGTTAGATTTATTAGTTTATCAGAGTGTTTAAGGATTGACCTTGGCTGAAGTTTGACAGAATGTCAAACTTTATAACTGTTGTAATTCTCAGCTTTGATTATTGTAGACATAATGAGGCAGTTTTGTGACATAGAATATTGAGGTACAAAGGATCATTCAGTATCACAAAGACTCCCCCATCTGTGCAGTCTTTGTGTCCCTAAAAAACCAAAATATTGTAAATGTTTTATAATTTTCAATGTTAGGGAAGGATTCAAAAACGTTTAATTAGTTGGTGAAATTTAGCAAATACTTTTCCTAAGACTAGGGCTGGGCTTTAATGATTAGTTAGACAAATCTTACTAAAATAAAGTAGAAAAGCTGCGAAAAAGCAGTTTAAAGCTAAGGTTAACTAAACTCAATTTATATTTAGAAACTGACTCAGATAGCTTTCTGTCTGGTCTCAGGTTGAACTGCCCAGCCCTAATCACGTGTGAGCAGAAGCAGAGCTATGCAAACCAGTCTGGTATAAATGAATTTAGTTGATAAATGTCATCTGATAACTTGTCTTTTGAATTGTCTAACATTAGTAAGCTTACTTTTGTTTTTTCCCTCACTGTGCAACTTTTCCAGGTTTGGACCTTATGAGTCTTACGACTCCAGGTCTTCTCTGGGTGGGCGAGATCTGTACAGATCTGGCTATGGTTTTAATGAACCCGAACAAAGCCGCTTCGGAGGTAGTTATGGTGGTCGATTTGAGAGCTCCTACCGGAATAGCCTTGACTCTTTCGGAGGTAGAAACCAGGGCGGGTCTAGCTGGGAAGAACCTTACTCCCGTTCAAAATTGAGGCCGGGGTTTGTGGAGGACAGAGGAAGAGAGAATTACTCTTCCTACAGCAGCTTTTCTTCACCCCACATGAAGCCTGCACCTGTAGGCTCTCGGGGGAGAGGAACGCCTGCTTACCCTGAAAGTGCGTTTGGAAGCAGAAGCTATGATGCTTTTGGAGGACCATCAACAGGCAGAGGCCGAGGCCGAGGAGTAAGTACGACAGAATCTTTCCAGATTCTTTTCAATAGTCACTCTTTTAAACCCTTTCAAGACCATGGTTTCCAGTGAGAGCAAACACTGTCTGTCCCAGTGTGCTTTAAGTAGAGGGTGAGGCATCAAGTTTCAGGTTGGCTGCAAAAGTTTGCCAGCATCTCCGAAAATGAGTTGCAGTGTGAGATGATTATTCCTGAAGTTGTGTCAGATCTCCCTTTGTGAAAAAGGCGAGGACATTCGGTTTGGTCTAAAAGGGGTTAAAAGGAGTTGCATTTTTCCTTGTAAACACCAGCAGCTTTGCTGGAGAGATAGCTGTTGGATTATTGTAAAAGGTATCTGAACCCTTTTTTGAGCTTTGAGTAGGTTAAAGGTGCAATGTATGATAAAATATTTACCCTTTGTTAGTAAACTCTAGCAAGTAGAATCCCTTCAAAGTTCCATATTTCCTGTTAAATGCTTGAGAGGTCAAGTCAGTGGTAGGTCAGGATAGCTTAGCCATGCTTATGTGATGAAAAAGTTGACATGAATAACAGAATGATTTGTGCTCAGTGTTATTTTGCTAACTTGCTCTCTTACTGTATGTCTATTGGTGATTGTTTTATTTCCCCTAACTCTATTGAGAAAGAATCTCTTACTTGTATATATGTTTATGGTTGCTTCCTAAGAAGTAATATTTTGCAAGTTATTGCCTAACTGGATAAGTATATTAGTCTACAGGTGTTTAATTTTGGGATATACATTGTAACAATTATGCCTTGTGGTCTTGGGTAACTTGATAAATTTTTACCTAGTAAGGGTATATAGGTTATGGGATTATGTATCTTGGTCATATAAACACTAATGCTTATTTATATATTTGTAAAATGAGATGATGTTTTTCAAAGTCAGTGGTGTTTACTCTTGTAGAAGAAAGTGCTCTGATAAAAACTGTAGTAGGGCATGTGGTTTGACTGCTCATTAGCCTTTGGTCATCAGTGTAGTGTCTTACTGGTGTAGAAGTTTGGCATTTTTAATAGTCACTTTTTACTTACATAAAATGCATTGCACCTTTAATGTTTATGATGAAGATTTTTCTGATGTGTCCATAAATGGAGACATTTATGGGAACCTCCTAGGTTGTTTCTAATCATATGCTAATGTTTAAGCATCCGTGTTGGTCCACCATACTTGATGGTGTAGGTTCATTAAAGTAGTTAAAGTAGTAGGCTTTGGATTTTGAAATTGAAAATACATTCTAGTTTGAAAATTTGGAAACATTGAACTTCTTCCATGCTGTGTAATATTTTGGGCAAAGGATTTTTTCTTAATGAGGACTCAGGTATCATTTTTTTTTTCTTGATGTAAAACCGAGTATTCCTGTACTTTGTATTTCCCATTCTAGTCTGAGTGAACTTCTCTTTCTTTCCCTCTGTTAGCCAAGTAGATGAACTGGTAGGATCTTCATTTTAACCCTCCCTTGTACAATTCCCATTGGGTCCTTCTCTTCAGATTACTCCTCAGTCTTTACCCTCTAAAAGTAAGATCAGCAGAATAAATTTCTATGGACATGACCTCTGGTATAGTGGATCTTGTTAATGACGAGAGAAGAGGAAGGGACACAGTCAGTTGCTGGTGTGACTCTTCGTCTGTGCACTTGCTTGGTGGGGCCTGGGGTTACAGTGTGTTTCTTAGGTAAGAATGTGAATGGAACGTCAGATGCAGCTCTTTCTCTGAAGTGTGCCTGGAGGTTGATGCATGGTTATGCTTAACTCTCCTGGGTCATGCTGACGTTCCACCTCATCTTCTCAAGTCCTAAACAATTTCTGGGTCTTTTTTACTTTAAGTTACAAATATGATCATCTTTGTGTAACTTAGTTTTAAGCAAGATTTTAGTAAAAAAAAAAAAAGATTTCTTTTAAGGTCTTTCTTTGATGGGAAAACAAGTAGAGACTCTGAAGAGGAGTTGTCAGAGAGTTGTACAAGTGGTGACCCTCTGGCAGGCACGTGGTGTTTACGATCTTATATCATTCTGAATTGTAAAATTAAAAAAATAGGATGTAGCCACCTTTGTAATATTGGAAATACTAATTCATTGGATTTGAGTTCATGTAATAATTTATAAATTTTTTATATGTGCTTTCTCAGAGAGGACATGTAAAATTCAGTTAAGTTCCACAGAGTTTTCAGGTGAAAACTAGTAACTAGATGACAAAAAAATTTATTAATCCATATTTTATCTTGACTTTATGCTAATGTTTCTCGATTTCACAAATTTACAGCATATGGGTGATTTTGGAAGCATTCATAGACCTGGAATTATTGTTGACTATCAAAACAAATCCACCAGTGTGCCGATTGCTACTACAAGAGGAATAAAACGAAAAATGATGCAAATATTTAATAAGCCCGGGGGAGCCTTTATCAAGAAACCTAAGCTAGCGAAGCCTCTGGAGAAGACGGGCCTCAGCAAATCACCTGGTGAGTGAGGCTGTTGCTGTGACTCAGAGCACCTACAGGGTAGGACACATTGACTTGTGACCATCTTTAGTGTTTGTATAGAAGTGCATGATAATTGTAACTGAGAATTGGATCTGTGGATCCCCATGTGTAGTTATTAATCAGTTGTTACCATTTAATGCATTATATATATATATATATACGCATATATATATATGCACGCATGTGTGTGTGTGTGTGTGTGTGTATGTATGTATGTATGTATGTGCATGTGCACGGAAGGTCAGAGAACAACTTGTGGGAGTTACTTCTGTCATTCTAAAGGTCCCAGCATTGAACTCAGGTTATTAGGCCTGCATGTGTGTGTGTGTGTGTGTGTGTGTGTGTGTGTGTGTGTGTGTGTGTGTGTGTGTGTGTGTGTGTGTGTATGTATGTGCATGCACACAGAAGGTCAGGGAACAACTTGAGGGAGTTACTTCTGTCATTCTAAAGGTCCCAGCATTGAACTCGGGTTATTAGGCCTGCACGTGTGTGTGTGTGTGTGTGTGTGTGTGTGTGTGTGTGTGTGTGTGTATGCACACGGAAGGTCAGGGAACAACTTGAGGGAGTTACTCTGTCATTCTAAAGGTCCCAGCATTGAACTCAGGTTATCAGGCCTGGTGGCAGGTTCCTTTCCTTGCTGATCCAGCTTGCCAGCCCACAGTTGTACTTTTAAAATGAATGTGCACTGGTTCATTTTATTTTTCTCTAATTTTGTTGGTGGAACCATAACACTCTCCCCCTCAATATAGTCCTGGGTAGCCTAGAACTTGCTATGTGGATCAGATTGGCCTTGAACTCACAGAGATCCACTTGTCTTTCTTCCAAGCGATGGGGTTAAAGGTGTGTTCCACTTCACCCAGCAATATGTGTTTTTAAAAGTTTTTGCAGATGATTTTGATTCAGACCCCTTTCTTGGATGTTTTATTTATTATTGGAGGAGTATGTGTCATAATGTATAGAATTTTCTGTATCAGGACAAAAGGAAGAACATTTTTTCTAGTCCTTAGCATTAGGTAAAGCTGTTTGCTCCAGAAAACTAGTTTGGCTTTAGTCTTCTGGAGATTATATCTCTTAGAGAGAATCACATTTCTGTTATTACAGAGTGTTGGGAAGTTCAGGCCTGTCTTAAGATGGGAATAGATAATTTATGACAGTACTGAGAGCAGTGATACACCTAGCTTAAAATGCTATAAAACAGTGGGAAAGGAAGTCTCAGTTGAAGGAAAGGCATGTTGTCCAGAAGGTCTTAGTTCCTAAGTTCAGACTGCAGGTTCTGCCTAGCTCTCAGGAGTTGGGCTGAGTAGGGACTCACACCTCACAATTGCAGTCTAACGCAGGATAGTCCAGACAAGGCGGCACTGTCACAGGGACTGACACACGCGGATCTGTGGGAAAGAGCTGAGAAAGGGGACAGGCGCAGGCGCGACCACGGGCTTAGCAAGGCTGCTGGAACTATTTAGAGGAGGAGAGAGAGAAGAGGCTTTGTGCCCGTGGTGCCTCATACCAAGAACTGCTTCTAACAACAGATCTCTAGGCGCCAAAGGCTCATAGCAACAAATTGTAAAATTCTTAATTGGTCTAAGAAATAAAAACCTGGAGTCAGATACAGAGGGAACGCTGAGAGATCAGAGAGAAGGAGCGGCCACCGCCACCCGGTACCTCCTTAGTGTCTCAGCAGAAGGAGAGCGAGTTCCTGTTTCTCCCTCTTTGTATCCTGTTTCTGCCCAGCTGTCTCACTTCCTGCCGGGCTGTACGACCTCCAGACCTCTATGGTTAGCTAGTGGCAAGCTCCATTCTCTGACCTTCAGACAGGCATTATTTATACAAGCAAGATGTCACCACAACAAATAAAAATTAGTAAAGCAGATTTCAAAAATTGAAAACTCTTGTGCTTCAAAGGTCTCCAGTAGTACAAAGTGAAAAGAAATGTGTGTGTGTGGTGTCACTCAGGAGCCTGAGGCAAGACAGTGAATATGAAGTCAACTTAGGGTAGATAAGCCTCTGCTTCATCTACCCTCATAAAATGTCAAAATGTTTTTGCAGTCTGTGTACCTGAGAAAGGACTTGTATCCAGGCTATATAAAGAACTTTAACTCGCTAACAAAAAGGCATAAATAACTGAAAAATAGGCAAGGAATATATAGAATTTCTTCAAAAAGACATAGTCGATAAATGTATGTAAAGTTCATCAAAAGTCATTTATCAGAACTGGGCATTGGTGGCGCACACCTTTAATCCCAGCACTCTGGAGGCAGAGGCAGGCGGATCTCTGTGAGTTCGAGGCCAGGCTGGACCGACAGCTTCCAAAACAATACAGAGAAACTCTGTCTCATAAAACCAAAAAAAAAAAAAAAAAAGTCACTTATCAGATAAGCGTTCATAAGTGCCACAGTTAGGTGCGCTGTGTCCTCTGGAATGGATAGAGTAAAAAAGATTGATAACAAGCCTTAGCAATTCTGTGGAGAATTTGCTATAGAAAAAACCTAATTGATTTACTGAGAGAGAGTGCATCTGGAAGTTATAGCACAACTTGGTGGAGTTGGCTCTTTCCTTCTACCTTTATGTGGGCTCTAAGGATAAATCAAATTGCCAGAGTTGCAGAACTAATATTTTATCTGCCAGCTATTTCAATACCTTCTTCCGCTCCTCTGTTTTTGAGATGTGGTCATGCTGGCTTAGTATTTGACTATGTAGTCAGAGATGGATTCTAGTTCAAGGCGGTTGTCTTAGTTAGGGTTTATGTTGTTCTGAAGAGATACAGAATAACAGAGTAACAGGAATAATAAAAACCCAGGGACAGATACTGGGGTCCAAGCTTCAAGCGGAAAATCAGAAACACAAAGAAGCCAAACCCTAGAGATTTCTCGCCTATGCTCATGTTCATCTCCAAACGGCACTACCCTCCTCAGACTGCTGCCTCTCTGTCGTGTGGCTAGAGACGGAATCTTCAGGTGAGACCCTTTCGTTCCTTCCTTCATACCTTCCTAGTGCTGGAAGTACAGGCGTGTGATCCCAAGTGCTGGGATCATCTTTGTGTGAGCTGTTTCTCCTTAGGACTGGATCAGTTTCATGTAGCTCAGTGTGGCCTTGAATTTACAGAGAGCCGTCTGCCTGTCTCCTGAGTCCGGGGATTAAAGGTGTGTGCCACCACCACCTAGCTCTATGGCTGTTGGGATTAAATGTGTGTGTCACCATTGCCTGACCTTTGGTTTGTGGCTAGCTTTGCTTTCGGAACCCTCGGGCAAACTTTAACAAATCATAAACAATGCATCACTACAACCACAACCACCATAACTCTTATAAAGAAAACATTTAATTGGTGTGACTGGCTTACAGGTTCAGAGGTTCAGTCCATTGTCATCATGATGGAGAATGGCAGTGTGCATGCCGGCCTGGAGCTGGAGGAGGAGCTGAGCTCTATGTCTTTCAGGCAGCAGGAAGTGGACTGACACACTTTTAGTGGTACCCTTATCCCCCACTCCCCAGTGACATACTTCCGCCAATGAGGCCATACCCACTTTAACAAAGCCACATGTCCTGGTAGTGCCGTTCCCTATGAGATTATGGTCATTTACTTTCGGACTACCACAGAGGTCAAGCTAGCTTTGGCAGCACATACACCCACTCGGCAGTCCTCCTGCGTTAGGTCCTGATCATTGGAATTATGGGCATTTGCCAATGTGCCTGTTAGCTGTGGAGAAATTTCTATACTGTTGTAAAAATAGGAAAAGGGTCTGGCATTCCTCAGATGATTAAACTGAGTTATATGATTCAGCAATTCATTCCTAGATGCATACCCAGAACGAAGCTAGCTGTCCACACAAAAGTATATATAGTTAAGTGCTGAACAGTGTTTTGGCCAGTGACTGCTTGAATATACAATAGTATATGCCATATATATTAAATGTGTTGTAGATTGCATCAGCTAGGTTTGTATGTGTATATTCTATTGTTCACACAACAAGTTACCTATGTCTTTTCTAGAAAGTTCCATTGTTAAGTGAGTGATACCAGTCTATACAGGTGTTTATAAAGGCATCTTGTCAGAGTAGTCCAAAGGGGATAAATCCCAGATATCAATCAAGGGATGAATGGATAAAATGTGGTATGCCCATATTATGTGGTATGCTGTAATATAACATTTAGCTATAAAATAAAATGAAGTGAGTATACACACTGTAACTTGAGTGAACCTTGAAAAGATGATGATAGATGAAAGAAATCAATGACAGAAAGAAGTTCATATTGCGGAATGGTATTCTTTTTTTTTTCCGAGACAGGGTTTCTCTGGCTTTGGAGGCTGTCCTGGAACTAGCTCTTGTAGACCAGGCTGGTGTGGAACTCACAGAGATCCACCTGCCTCTGTCTCCTGAGTGCAGGGATTAAAGGCATGCGCCACCAAAGCCCAGAATTTTTTTAAAAAAACATTTTATCTCCATTTAAATTAAGGATGAGTGTGTACAATTTAATAAGAACATGTTTTTTAAATTGTGCTTTCTTTTTCAGGGTGCCTTTTCCAGACTTATTTATTTTACATTTTATTTATTTATCTCTATATTTTTTATGTATCAGTATTCTGCATGTATACCTGTACACCAGAAGAAGGCATCAGATCCTATTACAGATGGCAGTGAGCCACCATGTGGTTGTTGGGAATTGACCTCTGGAAGAACAGCCAGGGCTCTTAACTGCTGAGCCAACTCTTCAGCCCTATTTATCTCTATTTTATATGTATGGGTGTTTTCACAGTATGCATGTCTCTGTACCATGTACATACCTGGTCCCCATGGAACTGGAGTTAGGGATGGTCGGGAACAGCCACATAGATGCTAGGAATTGAGCCCTGGGCCCTATGGAAGAGCATCCAGCTCTTAACTGCTGAGACATCTCTCCAGCCCAGATTTTAACTGTATTTACTGAATGCTTCTTGTACATGGGCACTGTGTTAAGGAGTATACATGCATTACATGTATAAATTT